CCTATAGACCCGTAAACCCTAAACTGATCCTATAAACCCATAGACCCATAAACTGAACCTATAAGCCCATAAGCCCTAAATTCGAACTGAGACCCACGACCTTTGGGAAGGCCAAGCTCAGGAGAAACGCCGTGCACGCGAAGGCAGCTCAAAAAGGGATCAAGAGACCAATTTGGTTTGGGGTTTAGGGTCCCACTTTGAAGCGTCTTATCAAGGTTGCTTGGGGTATAAAAGCCCTACCTTTCAAAGTCCTGCAAAGATTTTATGAAAGATCGCTAAAGCTTTACAAGGGCTCGACCACAATCCACAAACCCTAGACCCTAAACGCCCTAAACCTTAAAAGCCTAAGCCCTCAACCCGAAACCTTAAACCCTAAATCCGAAACACCTAGGGCCCTAAACCCTAAACACCGTAAACCCTAAACCTATAATGAAAACCTAAACCCTAAACCCTCAAAAAAAACAACTAAACCCTCAACACCTAACAAAACACCCCACCAAACAAGACCCTTTCTTTAGGTCAAGATGCGGCCTGGGCAAGCTCTGGCGGCGGTGCCGCCACGGGCTCGAAGCCTACTTGGCTAGGTTTCAGGGTTTCGGGTTTCGGCTTTCGGGTTTCGGGTTTGGGACTTGGGGTTTGGGGCTTGGGGTTTAGTAGAGATTGGGGTTTAGGGTTTGTGACTTGGGGTTCAGAGTTTGGGTTTCTTTTTGAGTCTCCGCGGCAAGACCAGGCTCACTCCAGATGGAGACTGATGAGCGAACCTTGCCACCTCACAGAACTCCTTCCTAAGGGCCACCTAGCAAACCGAGATCCTAATGTGTACCCGAATTTAGGGTTTAGGGTTTCGGGTTTAGGGGTGCTACCTCTTAAACCCTAAACCCTAAACCCTAAACCCTAAGCCCTAAACCCTAAACCCTAAACCCAAACTCTTAAGGACTTACATAAGAAAATCCATAGCTGAGACAGAACAAAACTCCTAGGGCTAAGACGGAGGAGGCGACACAGACCTCCTTCAGATCTCTGGCCGCGTGGGCATCTTTGAAGTGGGTTTGCAGAATGACGACGGTTTAGGGTTCAGGGTTTAGGGTTTAGCGTTTGCAAGTGCGAACACTTGGCATGCTCTCGTACAGACGTATACTGTCTGACTTTCGCAGTGTGTTCAATCA